AATGTTAGCTCTATGCGCTCGTAGCGGCAAAACGCGGTACTACAAAAGCTCTGCCCACAAAAAAATTAGTTCGGTTTCTTTTGGGTACCCCGTTGTAAATCATGAACATCTGATGTAATCCAATTCAAACCAGACGTTCCATTCTTCAGGTATAGGAAATTCACATTTGGAACCCCTCTTGGTACATCTTGTTTATGTACTAAGAAGAAGAAAATTTTGAGTAACATAAGGATAAATCTTAAAAACTAAACACGGCTCTTAAACTGATTTTAATATAAAGAAATTCTTTACACTCTTGAGATCTTATTTTAGGATTTAACTTATGTAGCATCGGGTGCAAAGTGGTATAATGTTTATAAATAAACAGAACTCCTCCATCTGTAATAGAATAGAGAAATGAATATGATCTTGTTTCATTATTAATGGAGCAGTACATTGGATAGTGCGGACTTTATTTTTAGAAATTCCTAGTATTCACGTGAAGGTCTACATTTGAACTTTGGCTGTCCTCATAACTACCTGTGGTATAGTTGACTAGGTACTTTGTTGGTAGGTTTTGAAACTTCTATTTAAATAAGGCTGATTAAGTATAGATATTTTTTTATTGCGACTTAAAATTTTTTATATAGAAATTAATTCATCTGCTTCCTAGGTTTAAAACTACTAAGAACTCTGCATTGCTGGCACAGATATTACCAGTGCACTTTAAGATGCTGAAATAAGTGAGAATGAACCTGTGCATGATTTAAGGGTCTTGTAGTGGTGGATGTTAAGGTCACTTTCTTCTGAGGTGTGACATTATGTAGATAGTTCCCCTGAATCGAAATGTTGGTACTTATGTACTAGCTACTGGCATGACATCCCAGAAGACCTTTGATGCTGAAGATTAACATTTCTCCATGCATAGTTCAGTTGAACATAGCCACATTAAATGTTATCTGCTGCACTGAGTATTAAAACAAAGAAAAGATCACCTTGTTGTCTGTATGTCTGAGTTCTTGCCTAAAAACTTCTGAATGCCTGTTTGAGGTTAGCAGTTGGAGAAGTGATATGCCTGTAGTCTACTCAGGATGATCAGCCTGAAGGAGAATACAATGTAACATGGTCCTGAAAGCCAGAATAGTGAGCCAAAAGAGACTACCAGTGCTGGGCAGCACCTCGTTAAACACGTTGCTGTGGCAGCAAATACACATTCAACAACAGGAATACTGTTGGATGCAGTCCATATTATGTCAGATACTCAATATATAATGAAAGAAAAGTAGGTGACGGCTCTTCCAGAACTTGTTGTAGTAATAGAGGAGAGGAACAGTATGGACAATGCAATAGAAAAGTAAATTTTAAAAATAATTGTAATTTACCTTTAGACTCAGTGCACGTGTAATGCCAGAGTATGTATATGTTGAGCGTTACCAATATTATATGCAATTGTGTGGGTTTCAGGAGGATGATATCTCTGGCCTAATGAGTACCTCTAGTGATTCATCAGCACAGTTAACCAAACTGAACTCTGAGTTACGGGAAAAGGAAAAGGAAGTTGATGGAGTTAGAGAGCTGCTTACAGCAGCTAATCAGGAGACAGAGATATTGAAACACAAATTACAGCAGGTCATAGAGCAGGGTGAGAAAACAGAACAGGAACTGAAGGTGAAAGCTGAGAATCTTTTACAGCAATTGCAGAAAACAGAGCAAGAAATGAAGCTTCAGTTAGAGGAAGCAAAAGGAATTGAGCAAGAACTTCATCATGAATTAGAGAAAACTATCGCTGAAAATGCCCAGGTTAAAAATGATGCAAAATTGGAAATAGATAAACTCATGCTTGATGCAGAAAAGACAAGGATGGAATTAACAAAGGTAACAGAGAAAAGTAAAACTACAGAACAAGACTTAACAGTCAGAATGGAACAGGCCATTCTGCAGTCAGCAGAGAAAGAGAGGGACCTGAACCAGCAGCTGGAAACAATGAAACTGCAGTTTCAGAAAGTGGAAAAAGAGTTTAAGGAAAACTTAGTGAAAGCTTTGGAAAATGAACAGGAACATGAACAAAAGCTGGTGCAAGTATTAGAGCAGGCTCAAAAAACAGAGAAAGAACTGAGGCAGAAACATACTGAAGAGCTGGAGAGACTGTGTCATGAAAAAGTATCAACAGAAAGTCTTGTAGCAGAGAGAGAATCAAAATTGACTTCGATAACTCAAGATTTTAATAAAGTGATACAAGAGAAGGAAGCTTTAGAGAAATTTGTTCTAGAGAAGGATTTGAAACTTAATCAATTGACTGATGAGCTATCAGTAGTACAAGAACAGAAAAACTCTGCATATAAACTAGTTAAAGAACAAAATGAGAAATTAGCTTCAGTCAGTGCAGAATTATTAAAAGTTCAAGAAGAAAAGATAACTGCAGAAAACAAGAGTACAGAACAGAGAGCAAAAGTTGATGCTGTCACTGAAGAACTGAACCTCGTTCAGAAAGAAAAGGTTGAAACTGAAAGATGCTTAGCAGAAGCAGAAACCAAGCTTTTGGAGCTGCATATAGGTGTAGGGGCACTACAGCAAGCGATGAAAGACACAGAGAGTTCTTCATCAGAAAAAGATTCCCGACTTTCTACAGTTATGACTGAATTAACTAAGTTACAACAGGATAAAGATGCTGTAGATAAAATTTTGATTGAAAAGGATTCAAGATTGTCTGAGACAGTGAAGGAATTGGAAAGGCTTCGTACAGAGAAAGGAGCTGCTGAAAGTCTTGCAACAGAAAGAGAGGAGAAAACAAAGGAAATAGTGCATGAGATGCAACAGTTAAAAGATGACTTTGATGCCCATTGCAAAGAGTTACAGAATAAGTTGATGCAGACTCAGAAGGAGACAGAGGCAGTTCAAGAGTTACAAAAGAAATTGTAAGTAATGGAACTAAAACAGTATTGTATTACAAGATTCTGAAAATATTTGTTTTTCATTTTGTTTGTGTGTTAGTTTGTTTCTTGATCTAGCAGAAGTGTGCAATGATGTGAACTGGCTTTTGAAAGCCTGAACATTAAAACTAATTTTCCTGCTTTTCCATATTATAATTATTTTATTTCTTTTAATTCAGTAGTTTTTAATGTGTGGATTATAATATTTTTCTTAGTCCTTTCATAACATTCCAGTGGATATGTTCATTATGTTGTACTTAAGCAGCAGTTTCCAATTTGCTTACTGTACTTAAAGATTGAATAATTTCAACGTGTCATTGGATGAGAACTTTTAATTTGACGCATGATTTTCAGTGGTAGGACATAAGCATTTGTGAACTTCCATGATAGATATAGTTTATGATTTACAAGGAGGATGTTGAGAGAGGAAACATGAGTGCAGTTTGCCAACAGTAACTAAATCTTCTCTTTCCCTGGTCAGACATGCATTCCTAATTAAGTTTCTGCCAACAGAATGCATTCAGACTTCCTTGTTTAACATCTTCCTGTAGATGGATTTAACTTGAGGCTTTATGTACTATGTGTTTCTAATATTGAAGGGAGCAGGAGAAAACACATATTGATGAACTTCAGGAGCAGCTAAGTATATCTGAAAGGGAGCGTGGACAGCTTGCAGAACAATGCAAAACATTTACGATGGCAGCACAGCAGAGTTCTGAACTCAGTTTGCAGTTGGCAGCTGTGGAGAAGGAACTGAAAGAAACAAAACAAAGGCAAGAGTTTTCCTTCTTCTCATGGTCTAGTTTGCATTACAAAAGCCTCTACTACTGTATTTCTATGCATTGGAGTTGTATTGTCATGTATAGGGCGGTACGCATGATGAGAATGACAGGTTATAGTTTGGACGATTGGATTTATTACCACCTCTCTCCTGGTACTGCAAGTAAAACGCAGGAACTATAACAGTCTCACTGAATCACACATTCCAAATACCACACACTATAGCACACATAAAGCCTTCAAATCACATTTTAAGTGCTCAAAGGTCAACGAACTTTCCATGGGTGTCTCCTACCAAGAACTCAGAACTCAGAACTGAACCATAGCCCCATTGGCTTTTAAGATAACTCCTTTGTACAGACCCCACTTTGCTTTATTAGAATAAGTCATTAGGAAGATGAAGGAAAACCAGGTGGGGATGGAATTAAATGGGACATATCAGCTGCTGATCTGTGCTGATGATGTGAATCTACTGGGTGATAACATAGATACCATAAAGAAAAACACAGAAACGTTAATTGATGCTAGTGAGGAGGTTGGTCTCTTACCATTCTTGTCTCATATCAAGTTCATTTTATGTTGGCTGTCCAGTCCTAAATTCATTTAGGTTGCTACAGAAGTATAGAATATTTTTATTCAGCATGTATATTTGTGCAAAACATTATGCTTACACATGCTTTTGAATATGTTGTATAATGTAATGACATTTTTTATAGGGAGGAGGACTTAAAAGCTAACAGTGAAAAGGAGAAGGAAAGTTTAAAGAAGAAACTGGAGACAACAAATTCTTTGCTTGAGCAAAAAGAAAAAGACTTCCAGACTCAGAAAGCCGAGGTACTCTTTCTGAATAGATTCTTAATGGTTCTGTCTGGTCTATAAATCCAATGGAAGTCAAGGATTTTTATGTTGTTGCAGAAATTTTGGTGTAGTAATGAAGTATCTGGTGTCAGCTCACAGATTAGCTCCCCATTAGTGTGCTTCATGTTTATTTTGAGACATAATTGGTATTTATTTTTTATATAGAAAGGTTGTCATTGGTACATATGCTTGACCATTCATACATCGTAGGAGCACTACATCCCACTCACTTTGGTTTGCAGGAAACAATAGGCTGGCACAGAAATAACTACAGATATTTTCTTAGATGGATAGAATAATTACAGGAAATGAATGAAGCACAACTTTGGTGATGAAGGGTCATACAAACTAAGTGATCAGACCAGATTTAAGTGTCTGTTTCAAGTGATGGATTCAAATTTGATGATGCAGACATCATTTAGTTAGTCTTAACCCTCTTATGCCACCTTTAGGCATAAATACATGGGAAATAATTACAGTAATGTGAACCATATGTGATTTATGTATAAATTATGATACTGACCATTAGCAAACTAAATCTTGTAGTTATTGATGAAGCAGGAAGTATGAATGGTAAGTTCTCCACACCTCACCTGTGAGTTGAAGCTGAAATGATCTTTCTAGAAGTCCTCTGTGCGACGCTTATTCCATAATGCACACAGGGTTAAGGAACTGTGAGACGCAATGAGATTAGATTGAAAATTTTAAAAATATCATTTGGAAGAAAATTAGAATGGTTTTCAAATAAAATGATTTTAATGTCTTGAAATACAGTAGTTCTTAATTCAAAATGAGATGTTAGGAATGATTGCTTATAGGGAAATTTCTCCAACATGTGTATCAAAGATTCACTTTTAGTGTCTGAAGGCACCAGCTCTATTGGACAGCTGAAGTAGCTACCATCTCAAAGCACTTTTCTCCTAATTACCTTTCCTTTATTTTTCCATTATTCCAAAGTGGTAGAGGCCTATTAATTTTTTAAACATAGTACTTTACTTTCATTCTATTGCCTTCGTTATGTACTTCTTTCAGTATTGAAAGAAAAAGAATGAGAAATTTAAACAGTTCTCAATCACTGCATATGGAATATAATTTTACATTTAAAATAGAGAAAATGTAAAACTATGTAGCAGTACAGACTTTAGGTCAGAAACAAATTTTGAGCTTTTCATGATTATAATCATAATACTCATAATCGATTAAGAAAATAAACAACAAACTATGGAAAATCCTTCCAAAGCTCTGAAGTGTCGTATAAGATTTTCATATACTTGAAAACATGAAATGAGATAAGAGTATATGAAATGGTTGTCATGATGAGTGGAATGGTGTGAACATGCAAGCCAGACACAAGAGCTGGAAATGTCTTAATGCAATGTAGATTACACCCTCTTTTCAGATTTCTTCCTTACTGACAGAGAAAGCACAGGGCAAACAGTATAAAGCTTTGCTGGAAGGTTTGCAACATGAAAAGCAGCAGCTTGAAACCAAAGTAGGGGAAATGCAGAAGACTGTTGCACAGTCAGAAGTTAATGCAAATAGTGATGGTAAGTCAGATATAGAGAAAATGGTACACTTTTTTTTTAAACCTCCTTGTACTGCTGTTATGACACAGTTTGGTTAATGGGTTTGTGATGTAACAGAACTTAGTATCCTACACTGAACTGGGCAGTATTGTTCAACATCTGAACTGTGTATAGTCACTATATTGACACCAGTGGTGTCTGAGAATTCAAATGTTTGTAGGTTATGTAGCCTCTGAGGTTCATATTTTCTTTTCTTCACAAAAACAGCCAGTAGATAAGAAGACAGTATAAAATCCTGGATTCCCTGTGAAATGTGGACATGGGACTAAAATGGGAGACAGAAAGGTATTATTACAGAGTGATAAATCCAGCAAATTCTATTAATACTTCATTTAAGAAAAGTGTACAGTATGAGTATAAGCTCATATAGTTTATGTTTAGTGACAGATTTTTAGGATGACATTGATGCGTATATTTGGGTTCCAGAAATGTATACTATATTTCTGCACACACTTGTACAATTAATTAATACAGAAGAAGAGTATTATTTGCAGTCAGTATAGTCTGGAGCTGTGATAGCTCAGTTGGTATACCAACTAGACTATGGGCTGGGCAATTGAAGAGTTGGGTTTCAATCCTGGGCAGGGGCAAGAGATTCTGTTCCTCTGCAAGGCATCCAGACTGGCTCTGATGCTTACCCAGCATCAGCTGTTTAGTATCAGAATCCTTTCCCCATGGACAAAGTGGCTGGGGAGTGAAGCTGACCAGTCACCTGCATCTAGTGCCAAGGTTAAATACATGGAATTATATTTCCACTCCCCCATACATCTTCAGGGGCACATTACCTTTAGTGCTCAATAATTTCAGTGTTCTGTGGTGTATACAATCTACAGTTTGTAATCAAATTGCATAAGTAATTTGTGTTGGAACTGCTTTAAACTAATTGAAAATGAACCGGAAAACATCAGTATACATAAAACTTGAATTTTGAAAGAGTTAATCAACAGCTTATCTGTTTTACCCTTTTTAACCACTTGACACAGCTCCTAGCCTGAGAAGATTTTATCAACTTTATCTGCTGTGAAAGCTTCATATCTTACAATTCACCTGTTATGACTGACTGACTAACATATTACTGGTATCTTATTTTTTTTGTTACCTAAAAGATATCATTTGTTTTCAGATCCCACACATCACAAGTTAGTAGAGGAGAAGGAACTTGCTCAAGGCCAGATTGATTTCCTCAACTCTGTGATTGTAGATCTGCAGCGCAAGAATGATGATTTGAAGGCTCGCATTGAGATTCTGGAGATTGGGATCTCCCCTGCTGATGCTGATGAGCTGAACTTGTAAGAGACATTATTGATGAGTACTGTCTTCACATTTCTCAATACATTACATTGCATTCCATTCCCTGGATCCAGAGTTAGTCAAAATGACTGTAGGATATGAAATGTGTCACCTGTACAGTACAACTTGTGGTTATACATGAGGGTATTAAAAAATACATCCACATATATACATCAGTACTGTCAACTTTTTAAACAATAAGTATTCATCAACAGATAGACTGAGTTTAAGTATAGCTTTAGTGTTATTTTATTGTGCTTTTTTCACCCATAAGACCTACACCTTTATTCTGAATAGAAAACTAGCTTCAAAGGTATTTAAAAAAAATATATAAAAAAGAGTTAAACTTATAGTTTATAACCTTATTTTTGGAAACTGGTTCCCACTTTCCATTTTCTAATAGATACTGAAATTGAGCAATGGTTTCATTATTTTTTTTTTTTGGTTCTCTGTTTCAAGGGTATTAAACTTACTTTTGTAGTAATATTATTTATATAAGGAATTGAGCATCGTGGTCTGAGAGGCCGTTGGCTACAAGAGATGTACAAGAATAGTTTGACCTTGTACAATCTACAATATTATTGTTAATGGCTCTACTCAAGGAATTTTAAATTCTAGTTGAAGAATTCACAGTGTGTGACAAATGTTATCTCTTTAGTAAAGAGTTTACTTGTTTTTTTCTAGCAATTTTCATTTCAGTAGTTTACGTTTATGTCTCCACAGATTATAAACTCAAAATTTGGATTGTACAAATATTTCGAAGTTGCATCTAGTCTTCTTAGAAATTCTAACATCTCCTAAAGGAGCTGTGTATGACCTTAATATAATTAAGTTAGATGTTTTAGTTACCATTTAATTTAATTTGTAACACACATGTCAGGTCTTCTATTCACTTCTCTTGTAAGCACTACACTAGTCTCTCAGTTGTTCTGAGCTCTCTTTAACTCTCCACATACTCTGACTTAACCTTAAACAGATCTTCATTATATAAGCGCCCCATGGACAAAACAGAAAACAAGTCACATGATAATACTGTTGCAGTGTGATGTCGTTGCGCCTGTGCTGAAGTCTATATGCTGAGTTGTTGCCTAGAAGTGGGTTGCCTAACATCATTGCTTCATTGTTGCGAGTGTGTATTGCACGTGTTTACTGGCCTGTTACCTAGCAACGCTCTGACCATCCATGCTACATTGCTTCCTCCTTAAGGCTGTTTGTTCTGAATAGCCTATCGGTGCATCACAATTCCTTCTTTCTAAAGTTTCTGCTCGTTGCATCTTGTGGTTTGGCTCCTCCTCAGTGATCAGCCTCCAACTGCTACAATACGCATTCCTCCCCTCTGTAGGTCTTTTCGGCAGAAGGTAAAAAAGGGGGGGTAAAGCTATCCCTGTAACAGGCCATGGAGGCTCATAGGGTTGTGAGATATTGAGGGTCCCACATTAAGTAGACAGATGACAGTAAGGTTGTCAGCCTTACATGCAGGCTGCCCTCTAACCCCCTCCCCCGAAGATTCCTGGTACTCACTTCTCTTAGAGGCTGAGTTGACCCTGGGGCCATAGTGCATCTGGAAGGATTAGAGAAATTGAAAATCCACCTCATTGGGACTCAAACCCACAACCTTCCAGTTTGTAGCATAGTGCCTCAAATAACTATGCTACCGCATGTCCGCTAAAACAACTCCGTGGTTTTAGTCTGCAAGCCAACACTACCAACCAAGCGACCACCACTTGTTGGCGAAGTTAGTGCCAACTTCAGTGATAGATGGTGTAGTGTGGTCAGCAGAACATATCCCCATGGCCTTTAATTTCAGTTTTCTAGATTGGAGCCGCTATGTTTTTTTTAAATAGCTCCTTGATTATCATCATGAGGCTGAGCAGACCTCGTTCCAGGCCCACTATTTCTCAGAAAATCTGGTAGGGCCAGGAATCGAACATGGACCTCTGGATCTGTAGCCAGGACCTCTGACCATTAGACCACAGACGCGGTCCTTTTTGACAGAAGCTGGAGCCTGATAGGTAACTATTCATTATGAAGTGCAGCAGCTCCTGTTTAACCATGTGATGCTTACTTAAACATAACATGTGAGGGTTTAAGTTGTCTATTTCAAAAGAGTGTATTAATTCATCACTTATGCTTCTCAGTCCTCTGATATTCTTGCGTTGGAGGCTGCTGCATTTTGTTTGTGAAATTCAAAGACTGCAGGATTGTGTTTAATATATGTTAAGCACCTATGTGCTTTTGGGTTTGAGCTAAACAAAGGAGAAGCCCTAGCATGGGTTATAACAGGACTACTGCTTCACAAGTTCAGAACCTTAAAAATAAAATTGAATAACTCAAATGACAGTACTAGAAATAAATTGGAGAGTTCCGATCATACTTTTTCTTTTTCTGTTATTTATCCTACTTCCTTCTTCTGTCTATCTTTTGGGTAATTCATCATACTTTGTATCATCCTTCACAAAAATTCGCACATGAACCCTCTTTTTTCTGAGTGATCTCTTACTCAGTGTTTTTACATTACTTGCAGAGACTGTTTAGCTTCACATTACTTGTGATGGTTGTGAATGTTGAATTTTGAATATGAAAGGAAGCAGTTGTCTGCTGCTAAAAGACACAGTCCCATTCATTATTCACCTAATGGACTTTTGGGGAACAATGTCCAGCAATGTCCAGTCTGACATAATAGTCACAGAGTATTTCCCACATTAAAGACAGACGTGTTTCCTTTGAGTTAGCTCTCTTACCTTGTCCCCTTCACTTGTGCTCTCCATTTTTGGATGGTTGTAATACTGTGGCTTTCTGTCTGTATTAATATGTGTAGAAATCTGTATGAAAGGTTACAACTTATAGAGTCCTGACAGTAGATAAACATTCATGGTGACATGGGCCTAGTTTTTTGTAGAGAGTAGCTTCATTTTATTTCTTTGGGTTGGGTGAAGTGTTTATTCTTTGCACTCAAGGGAACAGTTCATTAGATGCCCTGTTAGGTAGTTTAAGTCTTTAATATCTAACCGTATTTTTCAAAATGAACCTTCAATTGAAAAGAGTAAGTGAAGAGAATACTGTTTAAGGCACAGGACTCAAATCATCAGTGAAGGAAACTTGCTAGAACTTAAGCCTGGCCTTTTTTCCTCACTTCACTTTAAAATATCTTTAATTAGGAGGTCTTTTTAATACTTCAGACTCTGGAAAACTTTTCCATAGCTTTGTTTCAGTACCTTAATTATTTATGAGGTAATATTGCAGGCTTCATAAAGCTTAAAATCTGTTCTTTTGTGGTGCCACAGTTGCCATAATAAAAGTTGTATTGTTTGCAAATACTAAAGATCTCCCTAGCAGGACCTATAAGGCACTAGGAAAGTAACAGCATTATTATATCTGTTAGATTTGAGGTTTTCACAGTGCTGACCATGAAGAGTAAATCTTTGTAGGTTGTAAAGCTGTGTAATTTTGTAGAAGTCCACCAGGGTTCCACCAAAACATGGTATTCTTACTAAACACTATGGCATTGCAACCCAGAATATTTAACTCGTTAGATTTATGTGAGACTTTTGTACAATATGTATTGCAACATATTTTCTATACATAAAATGTGGTAGAAATATAAACAGATTATATCACTATAGTAAGCATCCTCCGTGAGAAGTATGATGGCTTGGTTGGATTCTGTGGGAAGATAACCAAGGTCTTGTATTTGAATAAAACCATAAATAACATCTTACATAAAACATAGGTGTAATAATATCGGAATCTAGCATAAAATATTTCACTCATCTAAAATCATACATGTGTGCCAGAAATAGTGCTGGTATTAAAATGAAGTGGAAATCCATGAATTCCAATAGTAGACTGTTAATCTGAAGTTTGTCTATAAAAGTTCTAGATGACCGTCTCTGGTAGGTTTTCCAGCATGTCATGTTATGCCTTATGCTTGTTTATTTCCTTCAGCACATGTATGTGTAATATTTCAGCACTTTAATTTAATTTCAGAAATGGTATAAAGCCCAATATGGTAGCTCCACGTGTGTTCTGTGATATCTGTGACATGTTTGATCTGCACGAGACTGAAGACTGTCCACGCCAAGCTATGGACACACCCCCACCTTCTCAGCACAGCCGGCATGGTGTAGGGAAGAAACGGGGTGAGGAGAGACCTTACTGTGAAATCTGTGAAGGTAAGTAATACATGTTTTTTTTTGCAATTATAAGAGATGCATGTTTTACAAGGATATTAGTGATATCCTATATTTGAGTATGTGATACTGTGTAATCTGGTAAAGTTCACTGTGGTTTCAGAGGATGTACTGCCTCCATATTTGTCAATATTCAAGGTCAGCTAGTAAGCCAAGCAAGCAAGAAGCCAACAAAAGAATAACAATTTTCAGCTAATATAATTTTCTTTTATTTTCAGTATTTGGCCATGCTACAGAGGATTGTGATGATGGCGAAACATTTTAACCTGCAGTAATGTTGTAGAATAAAGTTTTTACGTAAGATAATAACTATAGTGTAATAAACGGACATGTAACAATCTCTATGTTAGCATAGACTTGTAGGGTCAAATGAAAATAGATGCTATTTTTATATTTATACTTGTACATAACTATGTAAATTCTTGAAACAGGTGCTCTGAAAGTGCCGTGTGTATCCATATATAAAATTCTGGTACTGATACTAAGTTTATGCAAGCTGTGCATAAAAGAGTGATACCTGTTACGGTATATTTTTGTATAATTATTGATGATTTTTTTTTGTTTAAATGTGTTCTTAGTTATAGCTAATTTATAAACTGGGGTATGTTATATAATTCTAATTTGTTTTGGAGTATGTTGTATTCTGTTTCCATTTCAGAAATATCAATATTGAATAGGGACTTAGGGAATCAGGACCTCTTTGACAGATTAAAAAGAAATGGAAGAAGTGTTTTTAACTGCAACAGGTGACCACAATATTGTAGGTTCATTTAATTAAGAATGTAGATAAATTTCAACAGAAGTTCTCTAAATGGAGTTATAGTTTCATTAGCATCAGTGATAAACTGAAAATTTTTTTTCTCTGTCTTTTGTTCTGATTTACATGAGAGCTTTAAGAAAGAATTACTTCCAGATGTGGGATTGAGGCATTTGTGAAGGTTTTGTGATGTGAAATAATTTCCACTTTGTTAGTCAGCACAATGTAATTTTGTACTGGTACGAGTAATATTTAAATGTACAGAATATCTCATAAGTCTGGAATCACAGGCAGTATTTGCATTTTAACATAGTTGTAACAAAATATATTTACTATGTCCACCATTCATGCCACCATAAAAAATAAAACATTTTTATGAATGAGAATTGTGATGTGATCTCATGGCATGCTGTGATAATTTATTCTTGAAAATGCTGTGGTTTATATTCCAAACTTATGGGGCATTATAGACATCAGTACAGATATATATTTAATGGACATTAACATTCACTGAAATACAAAATTAAATTGTAATGGAAATAGAATAATGGTCAACTCCTTTAGTCTGAATATGTCCTCCCAATTTTGAAATTAATATCTGAAGTGTGGAAGAGGGTATGAAATAGAATTATGATTAAATTTACTGTGAATCTGGGACAAGTATGTAAAGTAAGAAACTTCATTGGCTACAGTGAGACCAAAGATCTAATTTATAAATGACTAGTGTCCTTTATATTAATGAAACAGGACTTTACATTTTAAAATGTTCTTGTGGTTTGAACTTATAAATGGTATAGGTAATTGTAAGGTCTATTGTATTACACAGATAGTGTTCTGTAATTCATTAACACTTTTGCTGCGTATTATTTTGTGACAGTTTTCCTAAAATGCAACAAAACTGCATTTTCATTGCACAGTGAATGAAGTGAAATGACAGTGAAAGGGGATTTTTATTTCCTGACGTGGAATGAAGTATAATGACACACCATATAGTAATGGACACTTGGGTGACTTCAGACGAATATAGCAGCAGTAGGGTTAAATATGATTTTGGGCATTTCATTTTAATACATGAAAATTCTTTGGAGTATGACATTATTTGAGACTATAAGACAAAAATCACATTGAACTGGAATATAGAATACAGTTTATTTTGACAGAATAAAATATTCCCAATTTTACTATAATAATTTGATAGTTATTATTTGTATGTTCATGTTCGTATTGTAATTTATTGGGTATGATCTGAATTCGAAACTTATGAAGGCAGGTAGCAATAAATAACATTTTGAAATTGTACATAAATTATACAGTATTTCAGAAATGAAATTTACTGTTGAAAGTGTAGTACAGAACACTTTTCTTTTGTTTGAAAGATGTGCAGTATATATTTCAAACTTGTTTCAGAAAGGTTTATATCGTTACTCCTCTTGCAGTTGGTGCCATTGTCTCATTTCTTATTCAAGAAGTTTACTGAATATAAAGTAGGATTACATTTTATGAAGCCTGTTTTAATTACATTGCTGAAGGTTATTGTTAGTTAAATAATGTTTATAAGAAGTGTTCATCTGGGTTAAGTTATTCCATTGTTATAACTGTTTTAATAATTTACATTGATGATAATATTTATGAAGTATCTTTCCATATTAGATGAAATCAAACTTGGTATTTGTAAAAAAATTATGTCTGATCTACATAAACATTTGAACAAAATCAGTCCTCTGGCTACTTCAGGCTCATATCTGCTGTATTATCCATTACAGAATGCAGCAGCTTAAATTGAGCTCAATTCAATGACAGGATGTCAAATACTTGGCAGAAACAACACCAAATTTATTGAAATATTCATAAGTCATCTTGTTACTAATTGTCATTAATCATAATAATTGTTAGCAAATAAAGATCAATAGACTTTTAAATTACTTTCCCCTTTTTATATGTTTCTAATAATATACGCCATAGACTGATGGATAATTTATTATTGAGTTCAACCAAGTAATGGTTCAGAGGTGAAGCTCCAACTAAGGTCCAAAGTGGCTGACATGCTGGGTGGTCGCACACCTCAGATGAGACCCGTATTACTAAACATACTGTAACATGTTTCGTTACTGAGTACACTGTTTGGATTGTTAATTGGTTTATTTAACAACCTGCAAGTCTCGGCTACAATTAAAATATAACAGTGTTACGGGCTTCCACACTTTACAAACCCTATGCACTAATCAATTCACTCTGTCCTCAGTAGTATACATGTATTAATTACGATACGGGAGCTATACAAGTGTCACTGTATCACATACTCCCAATTATTACTCAGTTATCACAAACTATCACTGATTATCACACATGCGTCCAGTTCTTCTATCCGCGACGGCTGCTATATTCCAACTCAACTTGTAGGCTGCTGCCTTGAGAACTCACTTCGGTGGCTGATACACTTTTAACTGCCTTCGGTGGCTGTGTAGTTCCCTTATATAGTCGCAGTGCCCGCCTGTTACCCATGTCACAGCTGCATTGCGTGTTATGTCACCGTGGGGAGAGGGGCGGGGTGTTGACTTGCCTATTACCATAGTAATGACAGCGCTACAATGCCGCCACGTACTGCTGGGGAGGGAGAGGTGTCCTCCATTGCGCAACACATCACAATACATTCTCTTGACAGATTTAGTGTAGTTTTTCTCAGCTGCTTCAGGTGAATATGGGAGCAGTACAGTGATATTATCTGGGGGCTGAGACAATGTATGGCCCTTCCACTATGTTTTCTGCTGCCAGCAGAGCAACAGTGTGTGATGATTACCCTGATGAATCACTAGCAGTGAGGAGAGGAAACGAATGCTTCCTTGTGACATTCGTGTATGACTTGAGTGTTGTGCATCGTTTGTTTTTATATACTTATTAAGGGGGGGGGGAGGATGATTTTACAACCCTGTCAGTAATTTAGATTATATGTAGTGTTGAAGGGTAGGATGACAGATAAATTGGAAGGAATCAATCATGGTCTAATTGAGGTACTATCCTGTACCCAACAAGAGACAAAATTCACAAAAACTCGGTCAGAATAACGAGTTTCCTAGCCAAGGTTTGAGCCATGCATCTTCTGAGTGAGTTTATAATGTTACCAACCTGTCAGCACAATTGGTTGACTATGTTGCATCAAATCAGCCTTTCAGTGGTTACTAAATACTTGACCTAATTTCTATCTTTGATTTACTTCACTGAAAGGATTACAGCATATTACTTAGTGATGAGTAGGGGCTAGATTTCTGTACCATAATCCTTTAAATATGTATGCATTTATGCATGGAAAACTTCCAAAATATGCACATAAAAAGTTCATACTAAATGTTAAAATTGACAATCAAGTTCCTTCCGTCAAATGTGACACTTTTTTAAGTTTTCCACCTCGTCAGCACCTGCCTTACATGTTTCGGCTCACCACGGAGCCATCATCAGAGGCATTTATAGTAGAAAAAGAAATCACCAACACACAAAACTTCACTTGGTTAGTGTGACGGACCAGAATGAAAGAAATTAAAGTTAAAATTGATTTTACATTATTGTGAGAGCAACAAATCAACATTTAAGTTAATTTTATGTAATCAGTGAATGATTCACTTGCAATGAAAAGCTGTACTTAAAGGCAGACCTTGCAACAAAGCCAACATTTTTTCATTACAAGTTAAAAAAAAACAACGGTACTCATATCTCTCCAAGCTTTTCAACTTCTCCTCTGTTGCAGTTCGCAGTTATTAAATGTTTTTGGTTTTCCATAGTTAGTTGCCTCCTGTTGTCTCGTAAGATGTCCTTATAGCATGGAAAACTTTGTAGGAATTTTGTCGTTACTCCAATGACAACCCACTTCTTCGGAAACTTTGTAGGTCCTGAAAAGGACCGTTGGCTGCTGGGATGTTTGGCCGGTGAAGTAGCGCTACGTACACCGGTAGAAAGAGATGTTGGTTGCGGTAGCTGAGGCAGTGGCCAGGTTGCAGTGCGGCCATTGCTGGCAGCTGCCTGGTTGCTGGAAGACGTCTACTTGTGGAGCGCGGTCACTGGAGTGGAGAGGCAGTAGCTATGCCAGTTTCCCAGTGAGTCGGGCATGACCGCCGGAGAGCCAAGGCAGCCCAGTGAGTCGGGCATGCTGACGGAGAGTCGAGGCGACCATTCCTGGCGCAGCGCAGAGCCGGAGACTATGAAGACCGAGTGCTGAGGACCAAGTGTGCTGGCTGGCTGACTGAGTGTGACTGAGTGCATGCTGCCGGGTTGGAGCTGCTCCTTTTTATACAAAGCATGATGGAGGAGCGAAATTTGCAGAGAGCTGATTGGCCAGCGCGCATAATAATGTGGATGTGGGCTAGCAGCAAGTGCTGTATAAATGCAAAAGTTGACTTGAATTTGATTGGTTTGCGCGTGTGATGGTGAAAAGTGAGTTGAATAGTGAGCGCTGTAGAAACAGCGTGATATGTGGGATGTTCCCACAACTTCTTTCCACCTCACAGAACTTTAAGGGNCATGATATGATGGAGGAGCGAAATTTGCAGAGAGCTGATTGGCCAGCGCGCATAATAATGTGGATGTGGGCTAGCAGCAAGTGCTGTATAAATGCAAAAGTTGACTTGAATTTGATTGGTTTGCGCGTGTGATGGTGAAAAGTGAGTTGAATAGTGAGCGTTGTAGAAATAGTGTGATATGTGGGATGTTCCCACAACTTCTTTGCACCTCACAGAACTTTAAGGGCACATGTACAGAAGTTGCTATTTGCTCCACTGTTAGTGATTTTTTACTTGGCAGTTCAGTACATTTACTGGCTAAAATTTCTTCAATTTCACAAATTTGTTCATATCCTGTTTTTTTTAAGAATGCTGTGTACTTTTTCCTTTACTACTTCATTTCTTGCAGGAACTAAATTCAATTTGGAAACAGTGGTTTTGAATACACTTAACGATTGATACAAAGTAGTAGTGCTATTGCTTGCCTCCAGTGAGGAAATGGTGGATGGAAGATGAGAAAAGTGAGCAGATATACAGGAAAGATTAGTTTCTAGTGCTGCGTTTTTTCATACATCTTGGGCAACTTGAATTGATGCTGCACTTTTTGGATCAAATGTATTCACGACAGTCCTAACTGTTTCTAAATGTTTGGTATAATAACTCAGTGCACACAGCCATGTGCCCCAGCACATTAAAATTGGTTCTGATGGAAGCAGAACGTTTGGTGCTACTGATTTAAAGGCTTCTTTTCTATATGGTGCTTTAACAAATACCTTCTTCACAGAAGACACCAACTTGTCAATAAGTGGAAAATTTGCACGAATTGTTTCTGCAACATGGTGCTACCCATGGGCAAGGCAAGTCAAGTCATGTGTTATATGGTACTGAAACAAAAAGATGAACAATATTACCTTGTTGTCATCTGTGAGTTTATTTCTCCTGAAAGAAACTAACATACACACTGTTAGCATGTTGATTTACCATGGTATGCATAACGTAAGTTTTTGAATTGTGCACCGCATTGTTTTAGACAGTGTTCATATCTTAACGCCCATGTATTTATCGTCTGTCAGTATTCATATCGTTCATGGGACCGAGTTTGAAGAAGGTGACAGAACAATTCCAAGAGAAATTTAATAAGACAGCACAAAGTAACACAGTTATGCTGTCTATTGTTATGAAATTTCGCCATTCTGGTAGTGCACTGTGTCAACGGAAGGGGAAGTCTGGATAAGTATGAGGAAGGCAATGCTCTTACTGTCACCCAAGAACGCTACAGGGACATGATGATCGGACCATTTCTTCAGGATTTGAGAAGGTTCTGTTGTGCAAGGGGCCTTCACATGAACAAACAGTGGTATCAACAGGATGGGGTGACCAGCCATACTGCTTGAGAATCTCTAGCCATGCTGCAGGAAAACTTTCCAGGATGAATCATTTCACATGATACTGACTTCCCATTCCCCCCATCTTGTGCCACCTGATGCCTACTCGTGGGGAATGTTAGAGGAGAGAGTGTTCCACTGTGAAGATCCGCCAAGAACTGTGCCTGCATTATGCGAGCAAATCGTCTCCTTTTGCAGGAGTCTGCAGCAATCTTTGTTCTGGGGTATGATTGAGAATCTGCATGAACGCTATGAACACTATCTACAGCGAGGTGGTGCACACTTCAAAAACTTACATTATGCATACCATGGTAAATCAACACACTAATAGTGTGTATGTTAGATTCTTTCAGGAGAAATAAACTCACAGATGACAACAAAATAATACTGTTCGTCTTTTCATTTCAGTAGTCTATATTTTGGCGCATACTGTATACGCACCATCAAACCATATCTAAAATTTAAGAAATTAAGTAATTCATACATACATCCAAATGAGCATAATTTTTGGTTGTAAGAAAGAAATATGCATTTGCATTAAGATATGAGCCCTTACTGTTTTCATACTTTCTCCAGAACCTAATTACAACATATTACCAAATACTTGGTCTCTATGCTACCTAGAGTGTCTGTGACACTTTGNTCCTCAAAAAAAAAAAAAAAAAAAAAAAAAAAAAAAAAAAAAAAAAAAAAAAAAAAAAAAAAAAACCTTTGGCGTTACCATATCAGCTTTTATTATTTCAAGTTATGAAACTATCTACTATAAAATTAAGATGAATTGTTGACTTCATTTTTTCCCCCACATATATTCTGTATCTTTATTTTACATTAGTTTCTTTTCATCACTGGTTTTAGAGATAAGCACATTCTCCTTTTACTACCACTGTTCCATTTCTTTTATTTCAGGCCAACGTATGTTGGACTACTTTGAAATTCTGCCAAAACCATCTTACTTCCTGTTTTCCATTTCAGACTAACATGCTCACTTGTGTGCATGCACATGCACACGTTTCCAATTGTGATACAGAATGGTTCCAGTACCGTTTGAAAAATTATTTGCATTTTATACCTGTTGGTAGAATATGATCCACTATTTACTCTGTGTGTTTCATACATTTGTCACATTTACATGTAATTTGCACTGCATCTGCATTTTATACACTGCAAAGGAATATTCTTCAAATACATCCCACAGAACAGGTACCTAGGTGTCACACACAAATCTGTGATATTTTTATAGATTTTCTGCAACTTAATGCATAATTATGCTATTATTTAGAGTAGATCTCCACAAAAGTTTTCCTAAATTTGTCTGGTCACAGCTGAAGTGATTCACATACATATTCTGAAGAGAAAGTAGTAGTATGCTTTCTGTACGAGTGCTTTAAAAAGAGAAACCTGTTAATGTCATTTAATACCAATAAATTCTACTCATACATTGCTTTACTGCAAAATCTTTGCCACATGAGATTTAGTGTATGGCAGTACAGGAAATGGAATTTATCTTTAAGGATTCATTACTTAATGTGTGCTCCTGCTTTCTAAGCAGTTTGCAAAGTTACAGTCTTATGTTATACTGCCTCTCTGTACACTGTAACACATCATATCAGTAGATTGTAAAGGGTTCCTACAGTGGTGTATAACATTCAGAATCTCCAGGTTTTCAGACTTTGTCCAGCGTTCAGTATTCTAGAAACTAGAAAATACGTTTTGGAAACTGGATCTCTTTTCCATCCTCAGGTGATAAGACACATACTCAGGTGGATCTTCACAAATTTTTCTATTTTTTCTATGCATTGGTACTCATGCACTCGCTTTTGTTGGCTAAATTTGTAGCATAAATTTCTACTTCTTTTCCTATCCTAGTTTCACAGATGTGTGTGCTCTATCACAATTTTTATTGTCTATTCTCTTGTTATCTCCCACCAAATTAGCCCCCTCTCAGGTATTTAAATAGCTGTAGTGAATATAACAGGGACTGTCCACAGTGACTGAGGTTAGCTCTTTCTACGGAACACTTTTCCCACCCTCACCTCAGGATGGAAACAGATCATTTCCAAAATGTCATGTTTTCCAGTTTCTGGAATACCAGACAATGGACAAAGTCTAAAACCCAGTGACATATCAGTGTTTTTTTTCCTGGGTACAAAAGCTGTCATAATTGCAAAACAAAATAGACAACTTTAAGTATATTTCTATCCTAATTTTCTGCTGCATTTTATGTCCTATACCAAAAGCATACAATCTATTGATCAATATGTGATCAGTTCTCAAGATTACTATTCAGTTTACTTTTAATATACCTATTCTTTTAAGAAAACAGGTGCCAATACTGCAGTGTACCATGACAAAGCAAGCAATGGCTGAAATGGAATCCTGGTAACAACTCAAAGTACAACATTTTTGAACACAGACTTCTACTACAAATATATTCAAGCCATTTTGTGGATGACAGTTATTAAATGATAAAAAAAATGTAGACAATGATGAAAATGATTTTATACGAAGCTATTGTTACGTTACTACTTTGCTGGATAGGCTTTGTAAATACACGTTGTTTCAAGGTTAATTTAGATTTTAGGTCTTTCACATTTTGTTTTCTTAGTTCAGATTTCACAGGAAATTCATTGTTGAAGTTATTGTGGTTAGTCACAAAATGTCGCTCTACATTACTTTTTTTACGAGAAGACACGCTACTATTACACAATAAACACATAGGGTTTCCTTTGTATTCAATAAAACAATACTGCTCCTCCCATTCACTGTTAAAACTATAACGCCTTTGTCTTTTAGCCATATAAAATAGTACTGCTTATTTGCTCAATAATTTGAAGCACAATAACTAAAATACACTGGCAACTGTGTAACTAGTCGAATGTACTACTTGTCACAACAGAAGACACATAACAACTGAACTATGGTCGTCACAAACTCGCAAGTAATACTGAATGTTTGGCTGAAGAAAGCGAACTTGGAAATATAGCTACTACCAATTTCCATTAGTGTACGACCCTCTTAATAACTTCTTATTGTTTGCAGCATCGCCTTGTTGGGATTAAAGTAACTTTGATTCATACTGCTGATGAGTTTAGAAATTGGGGAAATTACAGTAAGCTGGGCCCCATAGTCATGTTCGTGTCGGTGAATATGTTTGCCCTGCCGATCACAGAAAATTTTATGTTACCCTGACCATAAATCCGAAATCCATGAAAGCCGATTCAGCGGGGACTTGTGGCTGTTTGAGGGGGTAAAAATACCGCTAGGGAAAATTACCTGAACTTGAGAGGATGGTTTCTCTAGTGAAAAAAGGATTAAGACTGGTGTTGTTAGCAAGGGCGAAAAGAAATAGGCATACATTTTCAAGGAATGTTTAATACTGTACCATGCTTCAAGGAAATTTTGTGAAAATATTTAACAGTACTCAGACACTCAAATATGTCTTGTCTTACAATGTGAATTAATATTAAAAATCGGGTCAATTATATGTGCTTACGGAGGGCGCCACGTTGGACAGGGCTGCTCTAGTGTATATATCCTCACATTTTTGTAATGAGAAAGATGAGCTGTATGACAGACTTTCCATATTATATGAAGAGTGAACTGTGTCACAGGTTGACATAACCTAATGGGAAACTAGTCTCATGGAATTTCTTGGTTACGCCAGTCCCGATCTTACTGTTATGGGGAAGGTGGACTGCATTATAGTCTCCATATTCCTATGGAGAATTAAGCTACTGTGCACGTTGCTTATTATTGTAATGACAAAGCTGTTTCAATAAAGGTCCCATATTGCTCCATACAGAATTCTGTGCCATGTTGCAGGTCCCATATTATTGCAAGTGTCATTTCTATTTCCAAGGTGGTCTGCTGTAGGCTTTACCTTCTCCTGTGATCACTGTATATGTATGAATGACATATGCTTAGAGTTCAACATCACATCAAACTGCTACCTTCATTTGGCAGGTGTCATTTTTTTATTACTTTTGGGTTCTCATTTGTCCTTTACATAAAAATAAAACATGCATACATTTTTTCACAATTATTCCAGTTCTTTGACACTGAATACAACTGTCAATTAGGCTAAATNATTCCTATGGAGAATTAAGCTACTGTGCACGTTGCTTATTATTGTAATGACAAAGCTGTTTCAATAAAGGTCCCATATTGCTCCATACAGAATTCTGTGCCATGTTGCAGGTCCCATATTATTGCAAGTGTCATTTCTATTTCCAAGGTGGTCTGCTGTAGGCTTTACCTTCTCCTGTGATCACTGTATATGTATGAATGACATATGCTTAGAGTTCAACATCACATCAAACTGCTACCTTCATTTGGCAGGTGTCATTTTTTTATTACTTTTGGGTTCTCATTTGTCCTTTACATAAAAATAAAAAAAAAAANAAAATAAAACATGCATACATTTTTTCACAATTATTCCAGTTCTTTGACACTGAATACAACTGTCAATTTGGCTAAATTTAATATTATAAATGTGGTTTCTGTAAGTTATGTTATATGAGTCACATTTTGAGAAGAACATCTAAAATTAACACACACCACAGCACACTCAAAGAGTTTAATGTCTACTTAATCTAGCCCCTCTTTCTTCTCTTTAATTGCTTCCTGGGGAGAGAGAAAAGAAATTAATATTGAAATAATAAAACACAATTTATGTACAATTCATTTTATAAAAGATATGCTGACATATTTACTTACCCTGAACCGTTCTTCAAAAAGGGACAATTCTGCCAGCAAATCGGTTATTGCATTCATGAGAGCATCGTGTGGTGTGTAGTCATTAGTTGTTTGAATGCGCAATATGAATTTGTGTTCCAGTGGATGAGGCAGCTTGTATCCAGCAAAAAGTACATTAGGGTCCTTCAAGAGTTGACTGAAAACAAATAAATAAAGAGATAATTCTCGATAAGTTCTCAGCTTACTTGATTGGAATATATTTATCTCTATACAAAGCATACTTTCAAATCGAAGCACAATAGACCACTGAAGGACGCAGTGCTAGGGCCAGTTTTATGGCTCACCCCTCATACTCATACTCATACATACTTTCTAATCATATTTCCCAGTGTATGATCTTCTTTGTTGATGGTGAATATCGCAGCATTTGGCACCTTCGTATCTTGTTCTTTGATAATCCTGTAAATAAATTTACTCCATGAGCACAAGTATTCCTCTGTGAAATATTAATTGAAAAGTATAACCTGAAATTTACATATACTTACTTCTTTTCGCCGTCAAACAAGAGGAATGATTCAAACGTTGGAGGTGCATTCATTTTTATGATAAATGAACTCTCAGCACTTAGATTTACAGTAAAATCTAAAGTAACCTTCCGCCTACTTCCAACACCTCCCAGAGCACAAATTTAAAACAACCTATGATGAACCTAGTGAACTTTCTAACCTGTTCCAAATTCCTAACCTTATGCGTTCTTATAACCTGGAAGATGCAATTCGACTCTATTACCAGGCAACATAACCGCCGTGACGGCCGTGACCTCTTACAACTAGCGACACAAGCGGTTATTAAGCACATCGAATAAAAACAATTGCTCAACGAAATTACGGTGACGCTACTGGCGACATCATGTGGTTAATGAATCAAACACTCGTAAGGTAGTTGTCGTAGTTGTCAAAATGGCGGCGGAAGGTGCTACTGCTGCGGCTGGAAATCCTAATGCGGAAGTTGTACGAGGGCAAGTTTTTGAAGTGGGGCCGAGGTATACAAACTTGGCATACATTGGAGAAGGGGCCTATGGGATGGTGGTGTAAGTATATTAGAACTGTCTTCGTAATTTTACTATTGATTGTTTCTAACCTAATGGTGTCATGTAGCTTAGTTTTCAGACTGTACTGATGCACACCCCTAGTTACACTTCTTGTAATACTTTAATTATTTTTCAGTGTGAAATGAAAAGTAATTAGTTGGCGGTAGAGGATATTTTAATCGAATAGATTTTCCATATAAACTGTGTAGTAGTGACAAATTTTTATATAAAATATTTTCCATGTAAGTGGAGATAGGTTAAAATTTCACCTGCTACTACCTTAATAACTTTTTACAGTCGTGTTCTCGACTTGAGACTTTTCTTTTACTCTAACTTCAAACAAGCGTTGTGTTGGAATAATGGTGTAGTTAATTATAAGAACTTACATAGTTATCGAACAGTGACATGTCAGTATAATGTATACTTATTTATTCTTTTGTAGTCAAGAAGATGTAAAAAACTTATTGCTAAATCATATGTCAGAATATTTGAGTCCATCAAAGTATTCTGAAACCTGAAAATCATTCATGTATGGATAAATATAAATTTGAATTTAATAAGCCTCATAATATCTTGTTAGATTTGAGGTTCTGGCAGCAGCAACTGAAGAGTATTACCTTCTGAGATATGACACACTGTAGTCTGGTAGAGTTTTACGGACTCTTGGGTGAATATGCTGTCACCATCTTAAGGTAGAAGACCACACTTCTATCCTGAATGCAGAAATATGTACTACTTCTGTCTTCATGGTGGATGAGTTTTCTTCTGCCCTGAAAATGGCGACAGCATGTTTGTCTGAAATGTCAGTAAATTTCAACCAGGCTACATGGCTTAACATCCCAAAAGACAATAATTATCAAACTATCCTGTTTGCCTTTCCTATTACTCTTTTCTATACGATAAATATGAGAGGTGACAGCTGATTGTTAAAACATTTATGATCACACATGACAGGTCATCAAATGAAAATTTCAGTAGAGCAAGGAAAAAATATCACAATTCAGACTGATCTTGCTCTGCAAATTCTGTTATACCCCAGGTACTGTAGCATCAAATCTTGAAGTGCAATTTTGTGATTTGAAACTTATGCAGTCTAGACTTAAAAAAAATGCATGAATATCTTTGCAGGTGTGCCATTTTGGCTGGGCTGGTATATTTGCACCATCTGTAGATGTACACATGTAAATGTTTTCAAAATGTTAGTGATCTGTTATAATTTAAGATCATTATAACTGAGTATGTAAGATTTGAGGATGCATTCTTCATTATAACTGAGACAAATTGGAGAATTTTGTGCACTTTCTGATAAATATTCAGTATTGATTACTCTTAAGCAAGTCTTGAGCTGGGATAGTGCAGTTAGTATAGTGACTGGCTATCGGCTGGATGAGTGAGAAATCGGGAGTTCAAGTCCTGTTAGGGTCAAGAATTTTCAGTTCTCCATGTCAACCAGACCAGCTCTGGGGTCAACCCCACCTCCTATAGGGTAGTGGTGGCTATTCCTGGGTGGTAAAGCGGCTGGGGAGTGAAGCTGACCACTCACCTCCAACTAGTGCTGAGGTCAAGAAAATGTGGATCTATACAGCCACTCCCCCATATGTCTTCATGGCATAGTGCTTAATGGGTTAAGCACAGGGACAACTTTACATTCTTACCGTTTTAAGCAAGACTTTCACAAATCTCATGCACCCAGTTGCATTATGTCATATTAAATATGAACATGAGCGGCCTCTGTGGTCTAGAGGTAACATTCCCACCTCATGACTCGTAGTACNTAAAGGAATTTGTTGTTATAAGTACATGAGGTTAATTATAAAAAATACCATGAAGATAAAAACATTGAATATATTTGCCAAGAATTAAACCCAGACCAACTAGGCTAGAGCCAGCCCAATATGCTGAACTACTATGGCGCACACAGTAAAAATGTGTCTCATTACATATCATAAGAATGGCTAAACAATGAGATATGAAGAAAGGTGTCTCCTGGGATGTGGCGCCATTTAGATATTGTGTTAACCGACGTTTCGGAGGAACGTATCGCCTCCATCTTCAGGGTAGAAGAAAAGAAAAAGATGAAATCCATGAGCGAGCCAGCATGGGCGGGTGCAGACAGTCTATCCCTGTGCACACTGGTTCACTCGCAGATTTCTACTTTTTCTTTCCTTCTACCCTGAAGATGGAGGCGATACGTTCCTCCGAAACGTCGGTTGACACAATATCTACATGGCGCCACATCCCAGGAGACACCTTTCTTCATATCTCATTGTTTAGCCATTCTTATGATATGTAATGAGACACATTTTTACTGTGTGCGCCATAGTAGTTCAGCATATTGGGCTGGCTCTAGCCTAGTTGGTCTGGGTTTAATTCTTGGCAAATATATTCAATGTTTTTATCTTCATGGTATTTTTTATAATTAACCTCATGTACTTATAACAACAAATTCCTTTATCTGCAACAACAGTTCTAGAACTTCTTTTGGACACTCTTCAAATGTTGTGGTTTGAGGGACTTCCCCATGAGTTCAAAGACAACAAGTTTGTGGAGTTGGCTATGCACCTTCCTGTAGTGGCAGGGTGAGAGTGCTTAGGGCTTTATCTCCTTGTCGCTTATACAGTATATCTTAGTAGGCTTATCTTCAAGACCAGGGTCAACTATGCAAGTACATGTTCTTTATGAAACTTATCAGAAAAGACATGGTTAGTATCCTGGTAGAGAATGAGGAAGGATGTGGTTTGACTTTTTTTAAATTACAGCTCTAGGTATGGAGTCATTATTATTCAGTTAATAAGCACTGTAGACTGGATGGTTGGGATTTTTGTTTGTGGCTGAATCATTACATAATTTCTCTTACCTCTGTCACATCCACATTCGCGTAAATTGGCCTGTTTGGTCTTAAGAGCTGCATCAGTCTTGAGGGCCATAATTTGCTAATTCCCACTTTTAGTTACTTTATTGTTTAAGCCACTCTGTGTATGTCTTACAGACTTAGTGAACTTCAGATTATCTTGTCTTTTGTGAAGGTTTCAGACGATGGTGTATAACCCTTTCGATTACTAAGATTTTGGATTTTTCCCATCATCTGGTGGTCTAAAGAGCACAATATTTGAGAAACTCTATCTGTTTCTATCCTGAGGTGAAAGGGAGGGTGGAATCTACTCAGTGGGGTCCATTACAAAGAGGTAACATCAATCACTGGCAGCCCGGTGATTGAGGTTTCGTTTAGAATGTTGAATATTCCAAAAACTTTGTAATCCCAAGTTTAGTTCCTCTTGCTTATTTCAAAATGATACGGAATTTCTCCCATATGTTCTCATTGTTCATTACCTGATACAGTGTTATGTAATATTCGTGTCATAAAGTAGAGCATTAAATTGTGTAGGCATATAGTATTACTGTAGTAAACTTGTAACTCATTTTCTCTCTCAGTAACTTTGTAAATTAAATTGTGACTTCACTATGTGAGAAATGAGGATATTTTGAGGTTATAGGTAAGACAGGAAAATGAAGAAGGAAGAAGAATAATGGCCAGAGACTGAGAGGTTTAGAAATAACAGATTTGTTTTTCTTCTTTCTTTTTTTCTTTTTGGAAGAACTCTGCTAGATGAATAATACTGTGAAGTGCAGTTTGTTACAGATCCTCAGGCCTTTAGTTGCAAGTATGTAATCAGTCATTGTATGAATTTTATTCAGTCACTGTTCTAACAGATTTTTCAGTTTTAAAATTTATCACATTTACAAAAATACTTTATTTCTCTTGTGTACTCATTGTTCCTTGTTATTCTAATGTAGAGCAAAAATAAAAATTTTAACAAAATCTATATTTTTCATAGAATTGTTTATGTCAACAAAGGAATGGAAAATGTAATTAAACTAAGTATACATAATGCCATGTATTTACACTTTATTAAATGGTATTTTAAAGTGAACCTATTTTTTCTTCATTAGCATAATTTATAATATCTCACAGCAGAGCAGTAATTGCAGGATTAATTATATAGCATTTTAAGAGGGAAACCATATTTCATTCCATTAGTTATAAACCCAGGCGAACACACAAATCATATCACTATGGTAAATATGTTAACAGAGAGACTGGATTTAATAACTTGAAACAGGGATTTCCAGGGGTTTAAATTACTAATGTCTTAACTGTTTCTGAAATTCCTGAAAGACCACAATTAATACAAATGTTTCAGCATGAGGGCTGTTCAGAAAGTGACCTAGCGAGCTGATAATAAAACAAGCAATACGAAAAAATGTTATTATATACAAATAATATGTACGTGGTTAAGCTACTTCTCAATATAGGCACCGTCGGAATTTATGCATTTATCATATGAGGGAATAAGGTTCTCAGTACCTGTGTCAAAGATTTCTGCTACCGGTGAGCTTATCCTCGTTTTGAGACCTTTCATCGATTCATTACTGTTGAAGCACTGTGATGTCAACCAGTTCTTCAGGTCGGTAAAGAGGTGGTAGTCTCTCGGTGCAAGATCAGGGCTGTAAGAAGGGTGGTCAAACAACTCCCAGGAGAAATGCTCCAGCCATGCTTGAGTGCGAGCAGCTGTATGCAGACGCGCATTGTCATGGAGGAGCACAACACTGGATGCCAGTATTCCACACCTTTTGTTCTGAGTAGCATTACACAGTTTTCATGTTTTTAGCTTAATGAAAGCGGATAACAGCTGGAATTTTGCAACTGGCGAAATTATCAGTCGCAAGACACATCATAACTCGAAATGTAGAGACAAGAACAAAGACTAGGTGACCTAGTTACGTGATGGTTTACGAGGCAATTAGTCATGTGATTTTACTTCGCATGCGCCAGCTCTCCCCATTCCTACATTAGTTGCGCAAAATAAACGTAGGTTATTTCCTGAATAGCCCTCATATATATTTGGAAGCAATAAAAGCTTTATATGGCCTTGTATTATACGTACATCTGGCTTTATAAAATGCCCATAATTTTGGTATTGTTCAGCAAATCACAATAT